CTGGGCATCATTCCACAGGTATATAATGCACACTCCACTTGCCTCATTTGCAACAGAACCCCTGAAGATGCCATTAGCACCTTAGGATTAGCAAGCCAAACATCCGGAGAGACTGCTGCTAGAACATATTGGCCTTTACTTAGGCGATCCCTCATTGTCCAAGTAGGATAATCTTCCAGGGTGGGTCCGTAGGTGACTATGGAGCCCTATTCTTGATTTGCATTGTCTCCCGCAGTGAGAGCATCGGTTTCCAGGTGGAAGGCGGTCCTGGTCAGAATTGGCTTGATGTGTCTTCCTCTTGGCACGTTTCTCTCTTTCGCCTTCCATTCGTGCCTCTTCAAATTCTGCAGCTGCTGGTCACAGCTGACCTCCAGCTGGAGCGCTCAAGGGCCAGGGCTTCCTAGTTCTCAGTGTCTATGCCAGAGTTTTTAAGGTTGGCTTTGAGCCATCTTTAAATCTCTTTTCCTGTCCACCAACATTCCATTTTCCATTCTTGAGTTCAGAGTAGAGCAACTGCTTTGGGAGACGGTGGTCAGGCATCCGGACAACGTGGCCGGTCCAGCGGAGTTGATGGCAGAGGACCATCGCTTCAGTGCTGGTGGTCTTTGCTTCTTCCAGCACGCTGACGTTTGTCCGCCTGTCTTCCCAAGAGATTTGCAGGATTTTCCGGAGGCAGCGCTGATGGAATCATTCCAGGAGTTGCATGTGACGTCTGTAGACAGTCCATGTTTCGCAGGCATATAGCAGGGTTTGGAGGACAATAGCTTTATAAACAAGCACCTTGGTATCCCTATAGATGTCCCTATGCACTCACAGAGGTCAGGCGGTGTTGTATTTTGGTATCGATGTTGACTTTTGTGGAGAGATGGCTGCCAAGGTAGCGGAAATGGTCAACATTTTCTAATGTTACACCGTTAAGCTGTATTTCTGGCATCGGAGAGGGATTGACCGATGACTGCTGGAAGAGGACTTTGGTTTCCTCGATGTTCAATAACAGGCCAAGCTTCTCGTATGCTTCTGCGAAGGTGTTTAGAGTGGCTTGTAGGTCTTGTTCTGAATGCGCACAGACAATGTTGTCATCAGCATACTGGAGTTCTATAACAGATATTGTTGTAACCTTGGTTACCTTACAGCCCAAAACACTCATAACAACTCAGTGATTTCAGCCATGAAAGCCTTCAGCAACATCATGGTTGTGGTTGTGGTTGTTATTATTCTTATCACCAGAGTGTCAACATCAATATTGTTGTTGTTATTGGAAAGGCCTTTGTGCCATTGAGCCCTGGTCAAAATAAGTATCATTATTATTATTATTTAGAAAGCCCTAGGTGCCAACTTGATGGCAGGAAAGGATTGCAAATCAGAATCTCAAGGCAAGTGCAATTATTCCACGAGACGGCGGCAAAGGCCATTAGGATATAAACTGCCATGTCATTTGTACCATTGAGACATAGCAATTTAATAATAATAATAATAATAATACGTTGGCACATTGGCTATAATAATGATAAATACACACACACATATATATCACGCCTATCCTGTTTCTAGGTGCTTTTCTCCCTTGTTCTTTGCCTTTCTTCTTTTCACAAATGCATGTATCTCCATCTTTTCTTCACAGGAAGAAATTCCCAAATTGTATCTATCTCTACACAAACACACATATATATATCATATTTCCAGGTATTTTTCCTTTGTTCTCTTTCTTTTTCTTCTTTTCCCAGTATCTACGCCTTTCCATTCCTCACATTTATCTTTTTATTTCCAATTTTCCCCCTGTGGAGAATAAGAGATTATTTTTCTGGCTTAATCTCTTCAGGTTCTCCTCAGAGAATCCATTCAAGGTGGAAATAAATCCATATTTTCACCCTGAAATTGGTTTTTTTGGGCTATTTTCTATTTCTATCCTCTATTTCACTATTTTTAATTTTAATTTAAGTAAATCCTTGTCCTAAATTGTACATACAATGAAGGAGAAATAGATATTTCCTCTCCCTCGTGTTTACCTCAGAAAGCACTTATATACCTCCCGCCTATTTCTAGCTTAATCTCTTCAGCTTCTCCTCAGAGAATCCATTCAAGGTGGAAATAAATCCATATTTTCACCCTGAAATTGGTTTTTTGGGCTATTTTCTATTTCTATCCCCTATTTCGCTCTTTTTATTTTAATTCAAGTAAATCCTTGTCCTAAATTGTACATACAATGAAGGAGAAATAGATATTTCCTCTCCTTCACGTTTACCTCAGAAAGAACTTATATACCTCCCGCCTATTTACTCCTCCGAGCCTCCCATTGGTCGCCCGCCCTGCCAATCATAAAAAGGCGCGCGGCCATTGCTTAGAGCGCAGCTGTGGGGAAGTTTAGAACAAGGAGGTGTTGGGCGGGAAATCGCGCGCATGCGCAGCTGCCAAAGATGACAGCTTCTTGCTTCTGAAATGCTTCTCAGCTTCGTCCCGCCCAAACTCTCTCCTCCGAGCCCCTCATTGGTCGCCCGCCCTGCCAATCATGAAAGGCGAGCGGCCCATGCTTAGAACGCAGCAGGGCTGAGTTTACCAAGATAGGGAAACGCGCGCATGCGCAATGCGACATCTTTGGCAGCAGCGCCTGTTCTCACGCTTTATTGGAATCAGCTGCTGATTGGATCCCATCTTTGGTTCGACATGACGTCACATGGCGCCCCCTGCTGGCTGGCGCTGCAATAATCTTTAAAAGAATGACACATTGGCCCATATCTATATAAATAAAAATGTAATGTTCGTTTGTGGGATTAACATAACTCAAAAACCACTGGACGAATTGACACCAAATTTGGACACAAGACACCTATCAGGCCAACGAGTGACCATCACTCAGAAAAGCACAGAAAAACACAGGAGAAGGGACTTAAAAAGTCAAAAAACAAAAAATACATTACATCTCATGCGCATAATCACATATATACACATATAGACAAATATATACACACATATATACACACACAAAACACATATACACAGACTGGGACACAGAAACGTGTGGAAGGGGACAACTAGTCTATATTCTTTGGGGACGATGGGAATCAGAGCCAATTATGAACACATTGCTTTGATTCTCAGACTAATATTATTATATTCTTTTCAAATGGGAAACAATAAATAAATAAATTTAATATTGATTATTAAAGAGTCATTCCAACACAAGCAGACCCCACCTTCATCTCAAACAGGACATTTAATTGTTGTTGTTATTGTAGTCTTTGTGCCACTGAGCCCAGGTCAAAAATAGTATTATTGTTGT